GGATTAAGAAACAAAATCCATCTTTCTGCTGCCTACAAGAAACTCATCTTAGCTGTGAAGGTAGGCACCACCTTACAGTGAAAACAGAGAACGAAGTACCCCTAAGCAAATGGTACCAGGAAGCAAGCAGGTGTCACCATCCTTATATCTGACAAATGGCTTCAAACAAAACTACTTAGAAGAGATAAAGAAGGAAGGACACTACATTTTAATCAAAAGAACAATTAGCCAAGAAGACATCACAATCCTAAACACATATGAGATGTGGGATTCCCCTCTGTATGTTATGAATATGTTTTATTACCATTGGTTAATAAAGAAGCAGCTTTGGCTTATGGCAGAGCAGAATACAGCTAGCAGGAAAACTGAACTGAATTCAGAGAAATAGAAGGTAGAGTCAGGCAGATGCCATGTAGCTGCCCAAGGAGCAAGATGTGAGATAACAAACCATGAGCCTCATTATGAAATATAAAATAATTGAAATGGGTTAATTTAAGATGTAAGAGTTAACTAGGAATATCCCTGAGCCATTGGCCAAATTATTGTAATTAATATAGTTTTTGTGTGATTATTTGGGTCTGAGAGACCGGGAAATGAAAGTGCAGTCTCCATTTACATCAATGAATCCAACTTCATCAAAAGCATGCTACTGGAGTTAAAGACCCAGACCAACACTAAGTTAGTTAGCAACAGACAGGTTACCTAAATAAACAGAGAAACATCAGAATTGAATGATGCTGTACACCCAACATATGTGTACAGAATATTCTGTCAAACACCAAGAAATATGCAGTCTACTCAGCAGCCCACAGAAATTTTTCTAAAATGTATTACACAGCCTGGGACACAAATCTTAAAAAAAAATCAGAAAAATTCCATGTATCCTTTTGAATTGTAATATAATAAATCTTAGCAAAGGAATCTGTATACGGATTTCATGAAAATGAAACCACAGCACGCACGCGCGCGCGCGCGCACACACACACAACCCTCCAGGACACATTAAGCGCAATTCGACAAGGAAAATTTACACCTCTAAGTGCCCACATTTAAATATCAGAACATACCTAAGCTGGGAGTGGTGGCACATGCTGTTATTCCAAGCACTCAGGAGACAGGAAGATCTCTCTGAGGTCAGCCTGGTCAGAAAGTTCCCGGTCACATGAGGGAAATTCCCAGGAATCCAGAGGGACGACCCCAGCTAAGACCCTGAGCAATAGTGGAGCGGGTGCCTGAACTGGCCTTGCCCTGTAAGCAGATTGACGACTACCTTAACTGTCATCATAGAACCTTCATCCAGTCAATGACGGAAGCAGATGTAGAGACCCACAGCTAAGCACTGGGCTGAGCTCCTGGAGTCCAGCAGAAGAGAGGGAAGAATGATAATATGAGAAAAAGGGTCAAGACCATGATAAACCCACAGAAACAGCTGATTTGAGCTAGTGAGAGCTCACTGACTCTGGACTGACAGCTGGGGAACCTGCACAGGATTGAACCAGGCCCTCTGAACATGGTTGACAGTTGTGTGGCTTGGGCAGTTTATGGGCAGTGGGACCAGCATTTATCCCTAGTGCTTGAGCTGCTTTTTGGAGCCCATTCCCTTTAGAGGGATGTCTTGCTCAGTCTAGAGAGAGGGAGAAGGGCCTTAGTCCTCCCTCAAGTTATGTGATAGACTTTGTTGACTCCTCATGGGAGTCCTCACCCTCTTTGAGGAGTGGATGGGGGTGTAGTGAGAGAAGGTGGGGGGAGGGTGAGGAAAGGAGAGAGGGAACTGGGATTGGTATGTAAAATAAAAAAAGATTGTTTAAAATTTTTTTTAAAGATTCAGGTCAGCCAGGGCTTTGTAGGGAGACCCTGCCTCACCCCCCATTTCCTCTACCAATCTAAGAAAAAAGAAGTAAGTAACTTATGATGCAACTCAAGAATTTGGAAAAATAAAAACAAAACCCAAATCCAGTAGACAGAGGAAAAAATAATAAAAATAAAAGCAGGAATGAAACAGAATCAATGAAAAAACAACGTCCCCCCCCCAAAAAAAAAACAAGCCCAAGAGCTGGTCCTTTGAAAAGATAGAACAAGATCAATAGATCTTTGGTCTAATTAGACAAAAAAAAATCTACAAATCCCCCATCAAATTAACAGAAGAGGGAACAGGGAACTACTACATCAGGCACCAAAGAAACTGAGACTACTGTAAGAGAATACATTATGAGTCTATAGTCTATAAGTTAGCAAACCTAAAAGAAACAGACTTCTAGATACACCTGAGCTACCAAAGTTAAACCAAAAAGAGAACATTAATGTAAACAAACTCATCACAAACCTGGAGCTCAAAACAGTGATGAAAAGCCTTCTGACTCAAACAAAACAAACAAACAACCTAGGCCCAGATGGACTCAGTACAGATTCTACCAGACTTTCAAAGAGTCAACCAACTTGGAAACAGAAAGAACACTCCCAAATTCCTTCTACAAAACAAATACCCAAACCAAGTAAACACACAACAAAAGCAAGAAAATTACAGGCCAATATTTCTGATGAACAGACTCAAAATTACTCAATAAGATACTTGGGACTAGAATACAGACATACATAAAAAACAAATACATACCATGACTGGGCTTTATCCCAGAGGTGTTTCAGCAAATAAGTCAATAAAGACAAAAGCAAAACAAAGAAACCCTGCATATAATTATTCCAATAGATGCAAAAAAAAAGAGAGAGACCATACCTCAACTTAATTAAGGCTATCTATGACAAACCCACACCCAATGACATCCTAAATGGAGAAAAATTTGAAGCAATCCCATTAAAATCAAAAATAAGACAGAGCTGTCCATCTTTCCCACTCCTTTTCAGTGCCTGAAACACTAACAGAAGCAATGAGGTAAGAGAAGCAAGGTAAAGGAATACAAATAGGAAAAGAAGTCAAATTAATTCTACTTATAGATTATATTTTATACACAAACATTCCGAAAATCCCACCAGAAAGGGTCTAGAAATAATCAACAATTTCAGCAAAGTGGCAGGATACAAAATTAACTTAAAAATTATATACTAACAAGAAACATGGTAAAGGAGATGATCTTGGAGAAACTCTTATTTGTGATAAAAAATAAGAATAAACCTAATGAAGATGGTAAAGACCTCTTCATTAAAGCCCTCAAATAAAGATACTAGAAAATGGAAAGATTTGTCATGCTCATAGATTGGTACTATTAATATTGTGCAAAGGTTCTTCCTATCAAGAGCAATTTATAGATTCAATGGATTCCCAATCAAAATTCCTACAACATTCTTCAGAGAAATAAAAAAAATACTATCCTAAAATTTATACAGAACAAAAGACTCCAGATAACCAGAGCAATCCAGAACAAAAAGAACAGTGCTAGAATTATTATTCTAAATTTCAAGATATTTTACAGAACCATGGTAATAAAAGCAGCAAGGCAATGCCACCAAAACAGACAAGTTGGCCAATGGAACAAAACAGAAAACCCAAATGAGTGCGCAGCAATAGTCATTTGATAGTTCACAATGACAAACAAACAAACAAAGAAAACAACATCAGAAAACCAAAAATAAACCTCCAGCACCTCAAAATGATGGTAGGGAAACTGGGTGTCCACATGCCGAAGAACGCATCAGGCCCATCTATTATTAACATTCAGAAAAATCAACTCCAAATAGATCAAAGGCCTCAGTGTGAAACCTGAAACACTGAACTGCTAGAAGAAAACACAGGCAATGCCCACAAGACACAGGGTAGGAAATTTCTGAATAGGACTTCATTTGCTCAGGCTTTAAGGCCAACAATTGAAAAATGGGACCTCGTGAAACTAAAACGCTTTTGTACCACAAAGGAGACAACCAAGTAAAAAAGTCCATAGAGTGGGGGGAGAATTTTCGTCAACTACTCATCTGATAGAAGGCATAGTTGATAGAATATCCAGAAAATATATATAAAAAAAATCAATGAATCTAGAAAATAAACAATACAGTTAAAACATAGGCTACCGATCTGAACACAGACTAAAGGATCTCAATACACGTTCACCATCCTTAGCAAATAGAAGAATACAAATTAAAACTGAGATTTCATGTTTCCCAGTCAGAACAGTTAAGATCAAGAAAACAACTGAACTTCTGGTGCACAGGCCACCCTTTCCTGGCTAAGTGTAATGTCCACCCCTCATCGAAGAAGATTACAAGGTAAGAGAGTGTGCTACTAGCCTCCCACTAACCTAGCATAATTCCTAGCCACGCTGCAAATCCTCATCATTATTCCCAAAGGCAATGAAACTCTCACTCCTCATGAGAACAGCTCCTTTTGGAAACAGGTGGAGACCATTACAGAGGTCCACAACTGGTCAAAATGTAGAGAATAAGTGGGGATGCCCAAACACAACTGATGAAAAAAAAAATCTCAAAAGAGAATATGGAAAGGTTTTAAGAGCCGAATGTCCAGGATGTCTGCTGCTAGAGAGTGGTTTCTAGACACGTAACACCTACATATATATGGGGAATGCACCCATGAACTAAAATAACCGAGACCATCATGATGACAACAGAAGTTGACGTGCTAACAGGGACAGGGGCCATTCCACGTGGACCCACACCTAGATGAAGAGGGACCTAGATGAGGTCAATGGCTGCTGAGATTGGGGTGAATCAGTTTCCTCCATGGGTGCGCTCCCATACAGGTTGTCCAGTCCCAAGTGGCTAAGCCCTGGACAAACAAGCAAAGCCAAACAGACCCAATAGGTTATAAATATGCACGTGTACATCTATGTAACACACATTTATACATGTACAACAATAATAATTGAAGAGGTCGTGAATTTTGGAGGAGAAACAGGAGGAGTTGGGGGAGGGCAGGAGTGAAGTAGAGGTCTCGCTCATGAATGAAGTTCTCAGTGATATAAATAAATACATACATACATACGTAAAGGAAAGGGAAAGCCCCAACTGTCCCAGCAAAGGAAGGAAACACGATTTACCTGGCTGGTAGAAATCAGGCGACAGTTCTCTGGCCACGGCTCTCGCAATGTCGCACTCCTGGCGGGCAGCCAGGGCAGCCTGGTCAGCAGCGTCAGCTTTCGCTCTGGCATGTGCAGTCCTACAGGGGCACACAAAGGCTAGTGAGTAGAGAAAGCACTGTATTAGCGACCCGTGGGCAGGCAAACCATGATGTAGGGACAGACATGGTCATTATGATCATGGCTCGTCGCCTGGGAATAGCAATGGTTAGCGTCACAACGCTGAGACCTCAGCAACAGCCACATCATAGATGAACCCACCTGTGGTCCTTCCTCTAGGGAGAAGGCAATTGTGAGGAAGGTCTCTACGGTCGGACACTGTGTCTGTCTGGCTGTCAGAGCTCACTGGACCAACTCCTCTGCTGATTTTGCATCGCACTCTCCCAACTTCAAAGTACAACCGACTATGGAGAGTAGAATTTGACCATACGAATTAGCCTAGTGCTCACTGACCAAACTCCACTGGCGGAATTAAGTAAGAATTCGACTAAGGAACTTGGCCAGTGGAAGAAACGAGCAGAAGTGCTACCATCGGCGCTTGCTGATTTCCATGTGTGGAAACTCTTGCTCTAAGATCTCAGGCCATCAGCATGATGCTTTGGATGAGTATTATAATGGGAAGAGATGCACACCGCAGGTTCTCACCAGCAAGCCAAGGAGGGCTAGTGAGGTGTCTACTTAGCTAATTTAAAATGTCTTTGCCTTTAACTTTTTCAGAAAGTTATTTTTGTGTGTATATGTGGGGTGCCACTAGGAGTGTGGAGAGGTCAGAGGATAACTTGTGGACATTGGTTCTCTTTCCAAAGCGTGGGTTCTGAAGACCAAACTCAGATCATGATGTTTGTCCGAAAGTGTTCTTACCCGGTGAGCCATCTCATTGGCCCGCGTTTTACCTATTTTTTTTTTTTTTTGCATGGATCTTATATGGAACAGAAAGAACCCAGTGAAGCAGAGCTGGTGAGGATGGAATGGATCTTTCGGTCTGCTATCCCCTCCCTGGTCCACCCTCATACATTAAAAGCCTTACCCTTTAGAGGAGGGAACAAGGGTTGGGCTTCCTGGGCTGGGATGATAGCTTGCTTGGTAATGTGCTTGCCCTGCAAGCATGAGGATGTGAGTTCAAATCCCTAAGTTCACATTAAAACAGGAAAGAAAACCCTGCTACACCTGGGCACATACCTGCAATTCTAGTGCGGGGAACGCGGAAACAAGTGGGTGTCTGGGGCTCGCCTGGCAGCTAGCCTGGACTCCCTGCCATTCCAGTTCAGTGAGAGACTAGCTCAAAAGTAAGGTAGAGGTGTGTGTGTGTGTGTGTGTGTGTGTGTGTGTGTGTGTGTGGTGTTTCTTGTGCCTTTTTTTTTTTTTTTTTTTTTTTTTTTTTTTTGAGAGTGAGAAAGAAGGCATGGAGTTGGATGGGCGGGGCTGTGAGGAAGATCTGTGAAGACAGGGGGGGAAAACTGTGATCAGAATATACTGCATGAAAAAAATGATTCCATTTTAAAAATTGAGGTGGAACAACAGAGGACTATCCTCTTGTCTCCATGTATACAAGCATACCTGAACACACATGCTCACCTGTATGCACAGACACGTGTGCACACACAAGAACTGAGTCTGAGATAGCTCAGCACTATCAAGAGAACTACCTCCTGCAATCTGTGCTCTGACCTTCCTGCATGGTGTGTTACATACATACACAGACACATACACACAGACACACACACACACACACACACACACGATAGAAAAAAATTAGGCTCCTTACGGTCAGACCAAAGAGAATCTGGAGATTATAGACAGAGAACTGGGCTGTGTGTGTGTGTCCATGTTCCAAATTCAAACGACTTGTTCAGTTAGTGTTTAGATGGCGTGGGCATCCACTCTTACGCCTCTGTAGACATCCTGCCATATTCTATCAGCTCCAGGCAGGACTATGAATAACTGGTATGCAAGTCTGAAAGCAATGCTCACACTAATCTCGGACAATAGGGGAGGGCGATCCAGGAAATGGCACTATACTCCAGCTGGTCTTTGGGGAGACAAAGTGGCAGCTGGAGATGACCAGGAAACTTGGCTCACCAGGTTAAACTAGATTTAAAACGGAAAGGCAGGGTCTGACCTGAGGCCAGAGTACTAACTAGGTCCCGCTCTCCCGTTCCTCCTGGACTCTTGCGGGCTCATCTCATGCCTACCTAGAGATTTGTAAGCTTTGCAAAGACCACAATCTTTTGCCTTTTGTTCTTTGCTGCACCGAGCACCCAGTATTTACCGAGAGTCTAACTTATGTATAAATGATGATTCTTTAGGAATAGCCGGGCTGCCAGTTAATAATAAGTGAACTAAGGAATATATTGCATGAAAAAAAAAACCTATTTTCAATAAAACATTACTGAACCACAACACTATAGAAATGGTAAAGACAGAAAGGCTGCCAAGGGTTCAGCAGGGAGGGGGACAGGTAGAGGACATGGCTAGGGGAGGAAAACAACTTGGTCACACTGCAGTGGATGGATGGTACATGTGTTGAAGTTTGTAGAATAGACATCACTGGGGGGAGGTCTAATATAAGCAATGGATTTTACATAACCAGGGGTGGGCAAGAAGATGAACAATGGATTTTAGTGTAAGTGAGTCAACATTGCTTCAGCAATTACATCAAATTTACCCAAGACGCCAGAGAAGGAAGCTGTATGTGGGCCCAAGGTGGGGAGAAAATGTGTGTGAGAACTCTGCAGTTTGGCCAACTTGAAAACGGCTTCAAAAAACCATCATTTACAAGTAAAACTTACTGACTGAGAAGATTTTATATATATATATATATATTTAGGGAAACCATATGTATGTGTGTATCTATCTATCTATCTATCTATCTATCTATCTATCTATCTATCTATCTATCTATCTATCTATCTTCCATCCATCTCTCTTCCTCTCCTCTCTTTCCATACATGTATGTAACAACAAAGATGGAGGAAAATGATATTATAACTTCAAAAACCAAGAAAGCATTAAAAACAAACAGATCATCCTCCACATATCCAAAGACTATTTCTGCATCATGTGGGAAATTCCTAATTGCTTCTGTTGATAGCGCATTATAAATCTGAGATGAAAATGAAACAGGAGTCTACGAGAACAGATTCCTAAGTGCCTGGCTGTCCTGACCTTGTAAGGCACTATCCTTGGCAATTTGAGGAGGCGGATTGACTAATTCTATGTCCAAAAACCAGTGGGCACCCCCTGTTCACAGGCTTTCAGCTTTCAATTCTTTTTTCCCTTCCCAGAAGGATTTTCCATTTTATCTCCTATTCTTAGCTAGAACCTAATTATGTCTAGGTACCATAATTAATGAAGCCGTAAGGGTACAGTCATGCTGCCTTATAATGTGATTTCCTTGCTCTTCAATAAATCTACAAAACTAAACAATGTATACGGATACAACTGCAACACATTTCTGTCAAGTCAAAGAAAATGGAAGTATTATCTCTTCGCCATATTATAATCCAGCAAACTGGACAATGCTGTACAGTGTAACTCTCCTGTAAACAAACTATGGATGCTCAGAGTCAGTGAAACCTCATTCACCACTCTTGTATTATATGTCCTTGCTCTCTTCTGAAGGTCCCGACAGATGGCCCTTTTCATCTAACCTAGCTACAGCATTAGTCAGGACTACTTACAGCTGGTCAGATGAGCAAGACCACATCCACCCCTTAACCCAGGGGGTGCTGCCTGAGAACTTCTGGTGGATCTGGTCATGAGAAATGGAGAAAGGAATGTTCTCTGTGTTATGTTCCCACCAGCTTCATGGGGTCAAGGTCACTGGCATGGCTAGACTTTGGGGTTGCCCTGGTTCATGTTTGAACTCATTTATTTAAATCCCAGGGCCAGTTCCCAACCCACAGATGCCTGGTCAGACCTGACACTGTTGTTGGGGTTGGGACTGAGAACACATAATCTGAGTAAATCAGCTAAAGCCACATAGCACAGGTTCTTGCTGCAGCTGGTCGTATGGAATCTCTCTCTCTCTCTCTCTCTCTCTCTCTCTCTTTCCCTCCCTCCCTCCCTCCCTCCCTCCCTCCCTCCTTTCTTACCTGGAAGCTAAGTATTATTACAGTTAAAACTAATAATTTATTTTTTTCATCAACAACTTGAGTTTTTTTCTTTTAATAACTGAAATATTTTACAAGTTCTTATGTCACTTTTCTGTGAAGAAAATCATCTAGTTTCCTCATTTTCTTGAATGTTTTAAAAAGTATAATTCATGGCATGTTCCTTCGATTTAACAATGCTTTTACAAAAAGTACATTCAGCAGTACCCTAGGCAGGCTCAGGGCACACTCCTCTAAGGAATGCGCACGGCCCTTTAGACGTCTACCCTCTGTCTTTCATGGACAGAGTTGATGAAAATTTGACTCCAGAAGGCAACATGACTCCATTAAAGGTGAAACTACATCTAGCATTTACTGAGTTTTCTACCTGCACATCTTATTCATTTTCTTCCCAACGATAAAGTGTTTTGAAAATATGCTGCTTTTGGTATACTTTAAATTTTATTATATGCGGGGCTGGAGAGATGGCTCAGTGGTTAAGAGCATTGCCTGCTCTTCCAAAGGTTCTGAGTTCAATTCCCAGCAGCCACATGGTGGCTCACAACCATCTCTAATGAGGTCTGGTGTCCTCTTCTGGCCTGCAGACATACACACAGACAGAATATTGTATACATAATAAATAAATAAACATTTAAAAAATTTTATTATATGTGATGGTTAATTTATGATCTGATTCTTAAAACTTAATGGTAGAGCCCACAGTCTAATAGGTTCAGGGGTCTTCCTTGGGGTTTGCTATGACATTCAAATAGTTAAAGAAAATTATTTCAGGTAATTAAAAAACAGAAGCAATTGGTTGTTAGAGACCAAAGTCTTAGTTCAGGACCACACTGCTCTACCAGATGACAGAGCCAAAAGCGCTTGTCTCCCTATGCTGATTTGGCAGAGTCAGACCATCCAGTTCTCCACCATCAACACCCAAGCAAATTCTCTTTTCCTTCTGGTTCTCTTGAAAGTGCCTGGCAATA